GGCCAGGCCTGGATCCTGGGAATGCCCTTCTTCCGCAAGTACTACACCCACTTCAGCCTGAACGAGCCAGGCGATCTGCAGGAGGAGGAGGATAAGGAGGAGCAGGCGGAGGAGGTGGAGGGTTGATGATGGTGATGATGATGATGATGCTGATGATGATGACGATGATGATGATGATGATGTTGTTGATGATGATGATAATGATGAGGATGATGATACTGATTGTGGTGATGATGACGACGATGATGATGCTGATGACGATGATGATGCTGCTGATGATGATGATTGCGGTGATGCTGATGATGACGACGATGATAATGCTGATGATGATGAGGATGATGATGAGGATGGGGATGGGGATGAGGATGATGCTGAGGATGATGATGATGATGCTGAGGATGATGAGGATGATGACGATGATGCTGCTGCTGCTGATGATGATGATGATGATGATGATGATGATGAGGTTGGCGATGATGATGATGCTGATGATGATGATGCTGATGCTGATGCTGATGATGATGACGACGCTGATGATGATGACGATGATGATGATGCTGATGATGCTGCTGCTGATGATGATGATGATGATGATGATGTGATGATGATGATGATGATGATGATGATGATGATGATGATGATGATGATGATGATGATGATGATGATGATGATGATGATGATGATGATGATGATGATGATGATGATGATGATGATGATGATGATGATGATGATGATGATGATGAGGATGATGATGCTGCTGATGATGATGATGATGATGATGATGATGATGATGATGATGATGATGATGATGATGATGATGATGATGATGATGATGATGATGATGATGATGATGATGATGATGATGATGATGATGATGATGATGATGATGATGATGGTGATGATGCCGACCTGGAACTCCTAAAAGGACTCCATCATGTTATCAAAGGAGAATGAGGAATGAGGAGGACGAGGACGAACAGCAGCAGCAGGAACTGGAGTGAGGATAAAAAAGGATTCGGATCTAGAAAAATGGGCCGCGCTCGGGCGAGAGCGTCATTCTGAACGACGGGAGCACAGCGCCGATCCGAACATGAGACCCACGCTGCAGCGGGAACATCACTTTGAAGCACTGAACACAAACGTATCGTAAGAACACATGACAAATCAAGTTTTGAAATCCTGCGTGTAACAAGAAACACGCGGAGAGGGCCGGACATCTTCCGCAATGAGTCAGGGGATAGAGGAGGGTAGCACCCATAGTGTGTAGTTGTAGATCGGCGGCCAGTCCGGGGGGGAAATGAGAGGGGGCGGGCCTTCTCAGAGGGCTCGGAAGTCCCCTGGCCTTGTCAGAAGTTCTCTAGGCTTGCCACCGAAGACAGAAAATCTTCTCAGAAGGCTGGAGCGCTTCCGAGAAACCCCGCCGCTTTCCGAGAAGGCCTCCTTCTCGCTTCCCCCCCTCGCTCGCCGCCGATAATTCCAGAGGAGGGGAGAGAGAGAGAGAGAGAGAGAGAGAGAGAAGGGGAGGACCTCCGCCATGATACGGCCCTGAGACCAGCAGCTGGGGAGGCTGAGTGACAAACAGGCCGTCCCAGACTATGCGTCACCAGCCAGCGTCCCTGGGTCAAGCGGCGCGGCACTCTTGAAGGGGAGGGGGAGGGATGCGGAATGCGGATGAGCCTCGCGATCCGAGCCCCCGACGCTCTGCGCAGCAATCTGGCGCGCAGCGAAGCTGGGGGGCCCGGCACAGCCAGTTGGCCAACCCCTCCTCTTCTTTTTTTTTGTTTTGTTTTTTATTTTGTTTTGTTTGTAACGTTGGGCGAATTTGAGCGTCGTGGCTGTAGCGTTCCAGTGGTGCAGTCGAGGTAAAAAAGAAGGATGCGCCGACCCTCTTCCTCCTCTTCCTCCTCCTCCTCGTCCTTCTCCTTCTCCTCCTCATCTTCCTCTTGCTCCTCCTCCTCCTCCTCCTGAGGCCGCATGGTCGGGGGGTCATGTCCAGCGTCATCCACCGGCTCGACGTTGGCCCCCACGACGCCGAGGATGACTAATTGCCCCTGAGGCCCCTGGCCCAGAAGGAAAAGCAGGACAGACCTGCCGAAGCCACGAGCGCCTCCTCTGGCGCTGCTCATTCTTGCCGCCGCCCTCCTGCCAAAGTCGGCGAGGTCGAGCGAGCGCTGTGGAGTTCCCTTGCCGCCACCTTGGAAGCCAGTGGGCCCGTAGGGATCCGCTGGGGGTTAGGAGTTGGAGGGCAAGTCCTGCCTGCTTCTAGAAGACCAATATCTGGGGCCTATGCCAAATACCGCTCCCTCTTTCTAGCCACAAGCGTCTACATACACATTTGGGTGTCGTTGCGTACGTTGACATGACACGTTCGGGGTGGACAGGACACCCCTACAGACAACGCGGCCGTTGCGTTCGGCGCAGTGCAACTTCGGAGACAGGGTAGATCCTGCTACGGTATGCTCCTGTTCTAGAGCAGGTCCCACATGGTACTCTAAGTTAGGGGATGCGAGTGCGCCCGGAACCCGCTCCTTGAAGGGCAGCAGGACGCACAACCGGATCGGGCTGATTGGTTCCTCTGCAGGACAGTGATTATTTTTCCTCTTCCCGGGACTTTTTCCGTTCTTGGGTCCGTCAAAAAAGACGGCTCAGGATGAACAGTTGGTCCTGGGGAAGGTGCCGAGAATTCCGAGCTTGGACTTTTCCAATCAATCATGGCGTCGGGAGTATTAGAAGGGGGAGCGGGGAAACCGAGAAGGAGTGAGGGGCAATCCGGAGGAAGGATGAGCATGGGGAGGAGGAGTTTGCATTATCCGGCATGCTCGCACTCTCGGAGCTGCAGAGCGCACGAGACGGCCCAAGAGGCCCCCCATCACCGAGCGCGCTCCACTACTCGCAACGTGCCTACTCGCAAATATCAGAGGCAGAGCTGCCTGCCTCAATGTAATACATCGCAAATCCCCCGCGGCGCCTCGAGGCCGTTTGCGAGTAGTTATTTAATCGCTTCGCTCATTCCGCCGGCCCGTATTGTGCCACCGCAGGCGTTTGCTTGCGCGTTCGTGGCCTCTTGGAGCCTCGGTGGGGCCGTTTGGGGCCTCTTGGCGCCTCTTTTCAGGCCTCTTGGAGAACTCGGGAGGCCTCCAGGGGGCCTCCTGAGCTCTCGTGACGGTCTCTTGGGGGGCTTTCGGCGGGCTCTTGGCGGTATTTGTTGGTCCTCTTGGGGCCTGGGGCCTGACGTTGTTGGTCCTCTTGGGGCCTCACGGGAGCTTATTGGGGCGTCTTGGGGGTGTCTTGGAGAGTCTCTTGGGGCCTCTTTCGGGGTCCTGGGCGCCTTCTGGGGCGGAGGGCTCGATTTTTCAGTTCTCGGTTCCCTTCTTGAGCCCCTCTTGGGCCCGTCTTGGGGCCTCTTGGTCCGCCTTGGGCAGCACTTGGGCCGTCTGGGGGGCGCTCTTGGGCCGCTCCGGGGCCGTCTTGGGAGCCTCGTGGGCCGTCTTGGAGCAGTCTTGAAGGCCTCTTGGGCCCTCTTGGAGCGTCCGGAAGCGGAAAGGCCAGAACGCCAAAAAACATAGAAAAAACCAATGAAAACCAACGATTTTGGCAACTTGGGGCCCTCTTCGGAGGCCTCTTGGAAGGCCCTTGGAGCGTCTTGGAGGCCTCTTGGGCTGTCTTGGGGCCATCTGGGGCGTCTTCGGGCGATCTTTGGCCGTCTCGGGCCTCTCTTGGACCGTCTAGAAAGCTTCTCGGGCCCTCTTGGACCGATCTGGAGCCCTCTTGGACTCCGAAACAGAACTCCGGCATCTCTGACCCGACCTTGCCGGGGACTTGCCGGGGACTTTCCGGGACCTTGCCGGGGTACTTTTCGCCCGGGGACCCCCAGGGGCCGCCCCGCGCGCGCGAACTAGAAATACTGTTAACCAGGTACCGGAGATCTTAGCACGCCCTGGCCCGTTGGGCCGGCGAATTTTGCAAGTCGAAGACCGCGCTTGTCTACCCCAGGATCGTCCCGAGACGGCCCCACAACGGCCCTACATGAGAGGGAGGTCGGACGGGGCCAGGACGAGGATAAATCCGTTCCAGAGCGATCTGGAACGCTCCCAGAGCGTTGCAGACCGCCCTGAGAAGGCCGCGGCCCCCGCGACATCCTCCAGAGCCGCCAGATGTCAGGGGTTCTCGATTTCTCTTCACCCGATTTGATCCTCGTCCCGGAGTCGTCCTGCAAGAGGCGCCCCAGGATCGTCCCGAGGTGGCCCCACAGCGGCCCCACACGAGCGTGAGGGGCGCGCGCGCGCAGACAGGCGGCGCCGCGGGGGGTTGTGCACGCGCAAGGCTGGCGAGCACCGCTCGCCGAGGGCGGCGCCCCGCGGAGAGGCAACCAGCGGGCCCTGTACATGGCGCGGGCGAACGACGACTGCACGCCGCAGGTGGACGACTCCAAGCTCAAGCTGGCGCACGGCAGGGAGGAGGCCATCAGGCCTCGCGCGGCCGCCCCGCGTCGGCTCGGGATCCCGGGGGGCGCGTCTCTCTCTCGGCCGCGGCACGCCGGGTCGTCCATCGGCAGGTCCCCGGGCGGTGGCCCGGCGCGCGGGTTCGTCGTCGCAACGTTGGCTCAGGGTCGCTCGCCCCAAGCAGCTCGGCACAAGCACACACAACACACAGCACACACAAGCACAACACACGTGCAAATACAAGCAGAAGGACAAGCACAAGCACAAGCACAAGCACAGCTACAAACGCATCCACAACCACACAAGCACAAACACAACCACAAACACGAACACGAGCACGAACGCACGCATGCACGCACACACGCGCGCACGCACGCACGCACGCATACACACACACACGTACACTTTTGTAAGTCGCGCGAGGCGCGCGCGCGATGGCTCCAAGGCAGTCTTCTCCCGTGCAGGACGAAGCGGGGTGATGCCCGGCATGTTGATGCGTTTCAGCAGGGGGCGCTCCTACGTGAGGCGTTCCGAGAATGGCCCTGCCTTCGAGGGTCGAAGGAGTTGCCATCTCTTCCGCGGCGGAAGGCAGCGGAAGGGCGGCGGAAGGCGGTGGAAGTATAATGGCGGCGGCTCCGCCAGCGGAATGTGGCGGAAGCTCGGCGGAGGCCAGCGGAAGCTAAAGTCGACCTCCCAAGAGATGACCACATTTTTCCTCCCCCTCCTCCTCCTCCTCCTCCAGAAGTTGTGGGGGTTAGGGGTAGGGTTCGCAGGTGGCCCCCTGTCGAGGCAACGGATCCAGGCCGCTTGCGAGCAGCTGCTTGGCGAGGAGTGGAACCCGACACATGCCGCCCGGTGGGCCGCTGAGCAGTTTCCTTGCAAGCGGGTGTCTTCCACCGCGCCACGTCTTCTGGGCAGACTGCAGACTGCATCGACGTCGCGCGGGGCTCTGCTGTGCATTATCTGCACAGTGACTCCCCCTGCGTTTTCATGCTCCCGAAGCACGGGGGAGTGTCCCCCATGCTGTCTCAGCGGCACGGGGAGTTCCTGCAGCCCGCGGGGTTTTGGCTCCTGCCCTGCGTTAGCCTCCGACGCTTTGTCCTTCCTCCCTATCCGACGACGACGACGACGACAGCGACGACGACGACGACAGCGACGACGACGACGATGACGACGACAGCGACGACGACGACAATGACAGCGACGACGACGACGACGACGACGACGACGACAGCGACGACGACGACGACGACGACGACAGCGACGACGACGACAACGACGACGACAGCGACGACAATAATTGGCGGGTTGTTGTACGTCACTCGTTGTTTTGTTCCAATGTAGAAGCATCCTCAAAGGGTGTGCATGCGATTTTCTTGGTCGGTGTGATCGTAGGTGGGCATGTACGTCTGATGCATGAGCTCTTCCGTGTCTCGTCTATGCACGCGTACGTCTCTCCAGGATGTTCTCGTCATGCGAGCATCTGCGCAGTAAGGCTGCGGCTCGTCGAGAATCTCTCTGCCTACTTACTACGACATTATTCTCTGCTACTTGAAACATATTCTCATCGATTGGACCTGTTCCCTCTTATCACTCCTGAGCTACGTTAGTTTCAGTGCTGCAGTCCCTCAAGCTTCCCGCCTGTTTTCTCGTTGCCATGTTTCCGGCATTCTCATCCATTTCGTCCCTCTTTTCCTGTCATCGCTTCGTGTACCACCTCTGGCAAGTGTCGGGATGCGGGCGTGCGGGCATCCTCTGGAGATCTTTGGACGCCTTTGCCGCCAGGAGCGGAGCTGAGTAATGGGATGCATCTTTGCACACCAGCTGCGCGTGTGCGGAACGCGTATCAGCACCTAGGCTACTCCCACCAGCGTCTCTGCCTGTGAAGGCCTCTAGAGGTCGTCGTCAGCATCGGCGGCGTCGCATCGTCGTCGTCGTCGTCGTCGGCGGCGGCGGCGGCGTCGGCGTCGGCGTCGGCGTCGGCGTCGGCGTCGGCGTCGGCGTCGGCGTCGGCGTCGGCGTCGGCGTTATCGTCGTCGTCGTCGTCGTCGTCGGCGTCGTCGTCGGCGTCGGCGTCGGCGTCGTCGCTGTCGTCGGCGTCGGCGTCGTCGCTGTCGTCGTCGGCGTCGGCGTCGGCGTCGTCGGCGTTGCCGCCGTTGCCGCAGCTGCCGCCGTTGCCGTTCGAGTCCCGGGGGGGCCCGACCTCCGCCGCCGCCGCCCGCCGCGCGGCTCCTCCCAGCAGTATGGAGCCGTCCCGGGCGGCGGCGGCGGCGGCGGGGCCCGCGGAGCAGGGCTGTCCTGGCCTGCGGCGCTGGGACGCCATCTGCGTCACCGCACGCCTCCCCGCCCACGCCGAGGCCTACAAGAGGGAGCTGGAGAGGCGGCGCGACACCGTCTCCGCCGGTCCATCCCCTGGCGGCGCGCGCCGGGGGCTTGGCGCGAGGGGGGGCGCGGCCCGCGGGGCCTGCCGGGGGGGGGGCTTCTTGGGAGCCTCCCGGGCCCTGCGGAGAAGCCCTCGCCTCGTTGCGAGTCCGCCCCCCTCGTGCCATCCCCCCAGGGTGCGCGCCGCCAGCCGTCGGTCTTGATACTCTCGGCGAGCGATCCAGGCCAAGACAGCGCTGGCAAGCCGACTGCGGAGAGAATAGGCAGCGGGGGTGCGACCCTCAATGCGCTCATCCTGGTCGCAGAGCACCTCTCGGCTTTGGCGAACGAGAGCAACGTTGATCTTGCCATCTTTCGAAGGAAACGCGTCCTGGTCCTCCACTGTGGAGGTACCCACCAGAGGATGCCAGCCTTCTCGTCGCTGCCCACTCCAGTGCAGCCAGCGGACCGGACTGGTGCCCTGAGCACCGTCGACCTTCTCTTGGACGGGCTCACCCGCCTTGCGGAGAGGTGCCCTCCTGGATTGTTCGTCGTCTCGTCCGAGGACTCGTTCGTCCACGTCGGCGACCGCTTCTGCGAGCGGTTCTCCAGCGTCGCCCAGCGAGCCAATGCCAGCGGGGTTGGCGCTGCCACCGCCGTCGCCATGGCGCTGCCCGTGTGCGAAGTCGCGCGCCAGCACGGCGCTTACCACCTGGGCGCCGGAGGGGAGGTGCGGCGGCTCCTGTACCGCGCCCCCGAGGAGGAGCTGGTGCCGCTCGTGGCCACGCCCTCGTCGTGCGTCCCGAAGGTCTGCGGCGTCGTGTTCTTCGACGAGGTGGCAGCAACCCGGCTCCTCCACGTGGCGCTGGACCCGCTGTTCGAGGCCTGCTCGTACCTCGGGATCGACAACGGGGCCCACCCGCTGGGCTTCTCGCTCTACCTCGACCTGCTCGCGTGCCTCGGGCAGGATGTCTCGGCCGAAGAGTTCGCACAGTCTGTCGGTTTGACCGGCCAGGTCTGTCCAGCACGTCGGGACCTCCAAGCCTCGGCGCGACCGAAAGCGGGCGGAAGGCGTGGGGACGAAGATCAACAGCAGCTCCAGCCCATTTTAGGACTCGCTGTCGGTGTCGCTGCGGACGTAGTCCACTTGGGAGAAAGGCCCCCTGCCCAACGGAGGCCGCTGTCGATATTGGACAACGCTTGCTTTTATTGGGCATCGTCCCAATGTTTTCCGCTCCCTACGTCGGGTGTGCCAGAAGTCATTCGTGCGCCCGAGCGGGCGCTTCTCGTGGCTCCCGGACTCGGTTGCTGGCGTGTGTGGCTGTGCGCGCGCGTGCGCGCGCCCGTGTGTGTGGCTGTGCGCGCACACACGTCCTGCGCTACGAGTGTCGGGTGCGGGCTTCGGGCAAATCGAGGGTCAGGGATGCGACGCGGGCGGACCGAGGGCTGGTGTGGGGAGGGGGGGGGGGGCATATGAGGGGGACGAGCGGGCGGGGGGAAGCGTGGGGGAGGGCGGCGGTGGGGGGAGTGAGGCTTCGGTCATGGAGGATGCCGCATTCGTCCCTCCCTCCTCTCCCGAAAGCGCCCGCCAGTTTCGCTTTTCGCTTGCACTTTTCGTTTCCTGCTCTCCCTCCTACCTGCTGCGCGACGTCTCCCTTCCCCCGCCCTCCCTGGCCGCTTTGCGTTTCCGCAGGCTGGGGCGGGGTCGCGCTGGCCCAAAATGAAATTCAAAGTTTCGCGGAACAAATACTTTCTTGGTGTTGGTGTAGGCTTTTTGTTCTCCCAGTGGAGAACGGCTTGCGTATCGATCGTTGGCTGATCGGACCTGCGTCAATGTCGACCCGCCGTTACGCTTTTGCATCGTGACAGGGTGCGTGGCCAATCGATAGTCGGGTATGTGTTCGTCTAGTTGCCAGTCGTTGCTCATGGGTTTGGCTTCCTCCATCCACCACTCCACCACAGTTTGTAGTGCGCTTCCTTGGCAGATGCGCCCTTCCATGTCGCGTCGGTCTTGGATTATCTTTGAGAGTGGGATGTCGCCGCCCATCTAGAAGTGAAGTTTTTTCTCCCGTCTCCTTCTTTCCCTCCCCTCCTCATTCGTCTCTTTCCGCGTCTTTCGTTTCCCTCATAGTTTTTTTCTTCTCGCTTTCTTTCAGTTCTTGCTGTTTTGTGTTCAGGAATGAAAAAGAGACACAATCACAATCACTGCTGCTTTCGGTGATATGGGAGATGGAGAGGAAGACGGACATCTAGGAAACATTGACAAGTAGGACTGACTGGAATGTCAGAGGGAGGGGGCCGAGCGGTTTCACTGTCCCTAGATGCGTGGCTGAAATGGGACTCCGCGGCGCAGATTATGCCTGTTGTTGTTGCCGCTGCTGCTGCTGCTGCTGCTGTTGTTGTTGTTGTTGTAGTTGTAGGTGTAGTAGTTGTTGTTGTTGTTGTTGTTGTTGCTGTTGCTGTTGCTGTTGATGTTGTTGTTGTTGTTGTTGTTGTTGTTGTTGTTGTTGTTGTTGTTGTTGTTGTTGTTGTTGTTGTTATTCGTCGTCGTCGTCGTCGTTGTTGTTGTTGGTGTTGTTGTGGTTGTTGTTGTGGTTGTTTATACTGTTCATGTTGTTTATGTTGTTGCTGCTGCTGTTGTTGCTGTTGTTGCTCTTGCTGTTGTTGATGCTGCTGTTGTGGTTGTTGTCGTTGTTATTGTGGTGGCTGTTTATGTTGTTCATGCTATTGCTGTTGTTGCTGCTGTTGTCGCTGTTGCTGTTGCTGTTGCTGTTGCCGCTGTTGTTGTTACTGTTGTTGTTATGGTTGTCGTGATAGTCGTCGCCGTTGTCGTCGTTGTTGTTGCTGCTGCTGTTGTTGCTGCTGTTGTTGTTGCTGCTGTTGGTGTTGCTGCTGCTGGTGTTGTTGTTGTCGTCGTCGCCGTTGTTGTTGTTGTCGTTGTCGTCGTCGTCGTCGTCGTCGTCGTCATCGTCGTTGTTGTTGTTGTTGTTGTTGTTGTTGTTGTTGTTGTTGTTGAACTCTCATTCTTGAAGAATAATTATTGTTGATCCCCCCCCCACCGGTGCACATTGTTTTTTTCGATTGAAGTGCCACCCCCGGGGCTCGCACTTTGTTTTTTCTCAAGGAAAGTCTTCCTGCTCAAACTGTGCCCCTGCCCCCCGGGCTACAACAACAACGGCTCCCGCCTGAGACTTCCTCGATTTTTACTCAGGACCCCCGCTCCCGCCTGAGACTTCCGCGCAATTTACTCAGGAAAGGCGCTCCCGTCTGAGACTTCCTCGCAATGTAATCAAGACCCCCGTTCCCGCCTGAGACTTCCGTGCAATTTACGTGGGAACGGCGCTCCCGCCTGAGACTTCTTCGAATTTTACTCAGGACCCCCGCTCCTGCCTGACATTTCCGCGCAATTGACTCAGGAACGGCGCTCCCGCCTGAGACTTCCTCGCAATTTAGTGAGGACCCCCGCTCCCGCCTGAGACTTCCGTGCAATTTGCTCAGGAACGGCGCTCCCGCTTGAGACTTCCTCGCAACTTAGTCAGGGCCCCCGCTTCCGCCTGAGATTTCTTCACAATGTACTCAGGACTGCGCTCTCGCGTGCGACGTCCTCACAAATTATTCTGGAATTGCGTTTCGGCGCTCAGGAACCACGCACGCGCCAAGGACGCCTTCACAACGTGGTATCTTCCCTCTTCCTTCGTCCTTCCCCCTCCCCTTCCTCCCACTCTCCCTCGTTCTTCCCCTCCTCCTCTTGCAGGGCCCGCGCCAATTCCAATGGCGGGCAGAGAGATGTACGCCCCCGAAGGATTGTCCGCCCGTTCCGGTTTGCCCGTACGTCTAAGCCCGCCGGCCCCAGCAAAGAGAAATAATCCCCCCGAAAGGGGTGTGATCGAAGACGAAGAGGGCGGGTATCGAGGGTGTAGGGTATACGTGTTGAATGACTCGCGGGCAAGTAAGAGCGTACAGCCTTAAACTGGTTGTTGTTGTTGTTGTTGTTGTTGTTGTTGTTGTTGTTGTTGTTGTTGTTGTTCTTGTTCTTGTTCTTGTTCTTGTTCTTGTTGTCGCGCTGTTGATGAGAACGTGTTCCTGGGGCCCCGTTGCGTTGCGCCCAGGGGGGGGCAACGCAATCGCGCAACGCTCGAACGCGAGCGTGGTTGCGACCTCCCCCCCGCGAGTTGCGCCCTCCCGTGCGCGAGTTGCGCCCCCCCCCGTCCGCGTCTCGTGCGCCTTTCGCAGGGCGCCCCGCAGGGTTGTGCGGCAGTCCGTATCGGATCTGTATCGGATCGCATACAGGCCGTATGGGATCTGTATCGGATCCCATACAGGCCGTATGGGATCTGTATCGGATCCCAGGCAGTATGGGCTGGGAATCGGACGCCATACAGGCCGTCGGGGATCAGTATCGGATCCCATACAGGGCGCATGGGATCCATATCGAATTCCAAACAGGCCGTCGGGGATCTGTATTGGAGCCCATACAGGTTGTGTGGGACCTGTATCGGATCACGTGCCGGCCGTATGGGGTCAATATCGGATCTCATACAGGCCGTATGGGATCTGTATCGGGTCCCATTCAGACCGTATGGGCTCTGTATCGGATTCAATTCAGACCTCATGCGTTCTGTATCGGGTCCCATATAGGCCGTATGGGGTCTGTCTCGTATCCCATACAGACTGTATGGGATTTGCATCGGCTCCCATACAGGCCGCATGGGATCTGTATCGGGTCCAATACAGGCCGTATGGGATCTGTATCGGATCTCGTACAGGTCGCAGGGGAGTTGTATCGGATCTCGTACAGGCCGCATGGGACCTGTATCGGGTTCCATACACGCCGTTTTGGATTTGCATCGGACCCCATACAGGCCGCATAGGATGTGTATCGGGGGCTTTATACATGACGTATTGGATCCGCATCGGATCCAAGGCAGGCTGTATGGGATCTGTTTTGGACCGGCCGCTGGGGATCTGTCTCGAAGCCCATACAGGTCGTATGGGATTAGTATCGGATCCCGTGCAGACCGTGTGGGGCCTGTATCGGGTACCATACATGCCGTCTTGGGATCTGTTTCGGATACCACACAGGCCGTATGGGATCTGCGTCGGGTCCGATTCAGGCCGTGTGGGATCTGTGTCGGATTCCGTACAGGTCGTATGGGATCCATTCTGGACCCCATACATGCCGCAGGGGATGTGTATCAGATCCCACTCAGGCCGTATGGGCTTTGCATCGGACACCATTCAGGCCGTATTGGGTCTGTCACACCATTATCCCAATCAGGCCGCATGCGATCTGTATCGGATTCCATACAGGCCGTACGGGATCTGTATCGGATCCCATACAGGCCGTATGGGGCCTGCCTCGCCCCATAGGCCGTATGGCGTCCTTCACGCGGTTCGTGGCCGCACAGCGGCCGCAACCGAAGGCTTCGGGTCCATGTCGGCACACACCTCACACGGTTCGTGGCCCCACGGGGGGCGCAACCGAAGGCTTCGGGTCCATTTGGGCACACACCTCATACGGTTCGTGGCCCCACAAGGGGGCGTAAACGAACGCCTCGAGCAGATTTTTGCACACGCGCACGCACACTTCACATGATTCCTGGCCTAACGGGGGCCGCAATTGAAGGCCTCGGGCCCATGTCGGCGCACCCCTCACACGGCTCGTGGCCCCACAAGGGGCGCAACCGACGGCTTCGGTTTCATTCCGGCGCACCACTCACGCGGTTCTTGGCCCGACAGGGGGCGCAATCGAAGGTTTCGGGCCCATATCGGCGCACCCTTCACACGGTTCGTGGTCCCACAGGGGGGTGCAGCCGAAGGCTTCGGATCCATTTCGGCAAACCCCTCACACGGTTCGTGGCCCCACGGGGGCTGCAACCGAAGGTTTCGGGCCCATGTCTGCACACCTTTCACACGGTTCGTGGCCCCACAGGGGGCACAACCGAAGGCTTTGGATCCAAATCGGCACACGCATCACACGGTTCGTGGCCCCACAGGGAGTGCGACCGAAGGCTTCGAGCCCATTTCCCGGCGCACCCCTCACACGATTCGTGGCCCCACAAGGGGGTTCCACCGAAGGCCTCACTCAGGTTCAGTTCGGCACGCCCATCATGCAGTTCGTGGCCCCACAGGGGGCGCAACCGAGCCCCGGGCCCCCGACAGACTCATCAGGAGTGGTGTCTGAGGCTTAGAGGCTCAGAGAAAGGACCCGAGGACATGCCCACGCAGTTCCCAGAGGCACGGAGGCGGATACATGTGTATGGCCATATACCTATCTATCGATCAAGTCAGCTATATCTTTATCTTTATGCCAACTTGCCTTGTATTCGCATACCTAGGTCTATATCTACCTATGTGTGTACATATATACATAACAACATATCTATATATCCATATGCCTACCAATATATTGATACACGCATATGTCTATTTATCTATCTGTATGTATGTATATAATATGTATTTACGTATATCAGCCAACCAATCTTCCTCGTCCACTGATATATATATATATATATATATTCATACACACATATATATAGATGCATATATATATAGATCAATCTAGATACCTCTCTCTATATATATCTACATGTCTCTGTATATCTCTATACTCATATTGATGTATACATTTATGCATGCATGTATATATGTCTGTAAGCGTGTATGTATGCATGCATGCATGTATGCATGCATTTATGTATGTAGGCTTGTACGTATGTGCATGCGTATGTGTGTATGTATGTGTGTATGTATATATGTATGTATGTATGTATGTATGTATGTATGTATGTATGCATGCATGCAGGTATTCATGCATGCATGCGTGTATGTAATCACACCTGCATGTGTGTTTGTGTATTCGTATGCATGTCTGGATGCATGTATGCATGTATGCATGTATGCACGTGCGTTTACATTTTTTTATGCCTGCATGCATGCATGCATGTATGTGTTCAATTATCCACCTATGTATGCATGCATGCATGCATGTATGTATGTAGGTATATATATATATATATATTTATATATATGTACATACATATATATATATATATATGTATGCGTGCATGCATTTGTGTGTATGCATACATGTATACATGTATGCATGCATGTATGTCCATATGTATGCATGTATGCATGCACGTACGCATGCAGGTATGTATGCATGTATGCATGCATGCATGCAAGCATGCATGCTTGGAATGTGTGCATGCGCGCATGTATGTATGTATATATGCATGTATGCATGTAGGTCTGCATATATGTTTGTATGAATGTATATATGTATGTATGCATGTATGTGAATGCATGCAATCATGCATGTATACATGTTTATGTATACACATTTACACACGTATGTATGTACATATGTATGTATGCATGCAAGCGTTGCTACTGTATTTATGTATGGATGTATGTATGCATGTATGTATGTATGTATGCAGATATGTATGTCTATATGCATCCACATACTGATGATACATTCGAATGGATAATCAGTGGAGGAGGGATCCAGGCCCCCAGTCAGGGGGATCGGGGAAAGGTGGGGTCGCGTGGGAAGAGCTGATACGTTGAATTACCCATGCCCAGAGGGCTAGTGGGATCTGGGAAAGCTTACGGCGACAGTCGAAGCTGTGGTCAGCATGCCTGCTCGGAGCATTGGTGAGCCCTGCAACGCCGCTCGTGCATGAGACGAGCATTCCGATTTGAGTGTTCCCAGGTGTACGTGGACAAGGATCTTAGGGCGCAGCTGTGGCGGCTGCTGCACGGCCAGATCCACCTCAGCGCCGTGGTCACAGAGCCAGACGATCCCGCCCAGTACATGTACGTCCGCTCCACTCAGGACTTCGTCAAGCTTGTAGCCAGCCTTCAGGATGACCAGAGCAGCGGCACCCAAGAGTCCAAGGTCCATGCCTCGGCGTCTGTGGTGAACAGCGTGCTGCGGGAGTGCTCCGTCGCGGGGGCGGCTGTCATCGAGAGCTCCTTCCTGCAGCGCTGCAACATCGGGGAGGGCGCCGTGTGCTCGGGGCTGAAGCGGATTGTCGGACTCGACGTGCCGCCGGGGCTGCGGCTGCAGCAGGTGTCGCTCCTGGGCTCGGGCTACGAGGCGGTGCGGCACGGCCTGGTGTGCGTCGCGGCCTACCGCCTCGAGGACGAGCGCTGCCAGTTCGCGGCCGGGGGCACGTTCCTGGGCCAGTCGTGGGAGGAGTTCTTCCGCAACACGGGGGCGGGCCCAGCAGACCTGTGGGGCGAGGGCCACGAGACCTGCGCGCGGACGCTGCGGGCGGCGAGGCTGTTCCCGACGGTCGCCGACCTCTCGCCGGGTTCCCTGGGCCTGCTGTGGGCGGAGTATGCGGCGGCCATCCAGCAGACGCCTCCCGCCTCCAGGAGGGCGCGCGTGGATCTGTGGAGGCGACGGTGGATGCAGGTTTGGCGGGACGCCCCGCGGCTCTCGCTGGAGGAGCTGCTCTCCAGCGCTGACGTGGGGCGCGAGCTGGAATGGCAGGACGAGGTGTCGGCAGAGACCAATGTGCTGAGGGCCAGGCAGCTGATGCTACACCAGCGTGACAAGTCGCTGCGGCACATCATCGACGACGAGGTCCGGCGCAGGCGATGGGGACTCCTAGACGTTTTCGACGCGATCGCGGCGGCGGAGGACACGCCGCTGGATGTGGCCGCCCGCTCGCTGGCGCAGGTGGCCGAGCTCCTGGCGGCCTTCGGCGGCGTGGCGGGCGGCCTCCGCTCCGGCATGGCGCGCAACCCGCACTGGCGTGGCGCGCTGGCGCGCCTGTCGGGGGCGAGCGCCGAGGATCGCCGTGAGGCAGTGCTCGAGATGCGTAGGCTGCGCTCGCAGTGGATCAACGACGGCCCCGTGGCGCTCATCCGCGCGGCGCGCCACTACGAGGCGGCGGCGCAGCTGCTGATACTGACGGCGGTGGCCACCTGCTCGGAGTTCGTCTCCATATCGCCGGCGGCGGAGCCGACGCCTCCAGGGGCGTGGGTCACCGTGGAGGCCCCGGCGCGGATCGACCTCGCCGGCGGCTGGACGGACACCCCGCCCGTGTGCTACGCCCACGGCGGGGCAGTTGTCAACCTGGCCGTCACGGTGGCCGGGAGGCGGCCGCTGGGCGCGCGCGCCCAGAGGCTCAGCGACCGCCTGGAGCTCGTCTTCGAGACGAGGGCCGACGGGCCCGGCGGCGGCGGTGGCTCGCCCGAGGCCGCCAGCCCGCCCACCGTCGTCTGCCGCACGCTGGCCGACCTCGAAGACTACAACAGGCCCGGGGCGCCGGGCTCGCTGGTCAAGTGCTGCGCGCTGTCCTGCGGCATCGTGGCCCTGGCGCCCGGCAGCGCGCCGCTCGCCGAGCAGCTGCGGGCCGCGGGGGGCGGGCTCCACCTCGTGACCTGGAGCTCGCTGCCGCAGGGCTCGGGGCTCGGCGGCTCGTCCGTGCTTGCGGGCGTGGCCATGAAGGCGATCCTGGCCGCCTTCGGCCTGGACATGGACGACTCCTCGCTCATCCACGCGGTGCAGAACGTGGAGCAGATGCTGACCACGGGGGGCGGCTGGCAGGACCAGGTCGGCGCCATCCTGGGCGGCGCCAAGATCACCCGGTCCGCGGCCGCATTGCCCCTGCGGGTCGTGCCCGAGCCGCTGCCCATGAGCCAGGAGCTGGCCGATGCGATCTCCCGCCGGCTGGTGCTCGTCTTCACCGGGCGGCCCAGGCTCGCGAAGAACCTCTTGCAGAACGTCATCCGCCAGTGGTTTGCGCAGACGCCCGAAATAACCCGCACCGTGAGGGAGCTTGTCGCCAACGCCGAGGCGGCAGCTGATGCCATCCGCGCGGGCGACCTGGAGAAGCTGGGTGCCTGCCTCTCCGCCTACTGGGCGCAGAAGCGCGTCATGGCGCCCGGCAGCGAGCCGCACGCCATCGCCGGCCTGCGTGAGGCGCTGTCCCCCGGCCTCCTCGGCTTTACCCTGGCCGGAGCCGGAGGGGGCGGCTTCGCGGTGCTGCTCACGCGCGAGCCGTTGGCACACGAGTGGGTCCGCTCGGCGCTCGCGGAGTGCCCGGGCATGGAGGCCGCCTACGTCTGCGAGGCCGCGGTGGACTTCGAGGGCCTGCGGGCGTGCTGAGGTCCCTGGCGTGCTGAGGCCAACAGGCACTGCCAGTCACTGCCGCCACGCCATCCCAATGGCCCACGCCCAGACGTTGCCAAAAGTCGAGTCGTGATCCAGACGTTCTGTCCCTTCCGTGGAAGCTCCCTCTGCTGCTCCGTGCTCGTGGCCCTTCGTTTCCTCCGCTCCTGCCCTGCTGCGCTCCGCGCCGTGCGGATGCACCTCCTCCTCCTCCTCCTCCCCCTCCTCCCTCCTCCTCCTCCTCCTCCTCCTCCTCCTCCTCCTCCTCCTCCTCCCCCTCCTCCCCCTCCTCCTCCTCCTCCTCCTCCTCCTCCTCCTCCTCCTCCTCCTGCTGAGCGGGCCGCGCCGTGCCATGTGCCGAGCGCCAGGCGCAAGATCGACCCGTCGAAGGTGCTGGCTCCACCGCGGGCCTCTCCGCCCGGATCTCGGCCGCGCCGCGCCCCGCCGCCTCGCGGCACCGCCGCCCGCGCTCCGCGTCCGCGGTCCTCTGCCGCGGGCCCGCCGCGCCCCCCCACGCCTGCCGCGTCCTCCCTCGCCGAAGCTCGTGCTGGGAGGAGGGGCAGCGAGGACGGAAGGACGACGAGGACGACGAGGACGACGACGACGAGGACGAGGAGGAGGGGGTGGAGGAGGTGGACGAGGAGGAGGAGGACGACGAGGACGACGAGGACGACGAGGACGAAGACGACGAGGACGACGAGGACGTGGACGACGACGAGGAGGAGCACGACGAAGACGACGAGGAGGACGTGGACGACGGCGACAAGGACGACGACGGCGATGGCGGCGGCGGCGGCGAGGACGACGATGACGAGGACGACGACGGCGACGACGGCGGCGGCGACGACGACGATGAGAACGAGGGCGATGAGGACAAGACGGACGAGGACGACGAGGACGACGACGCCGACGAGGATGCCGACGACGGCGACGACGACGCCGACGAGGACGGCCAGGACGACGACGAGGACGAGGACGACGACGACGCCGACGATGTTGACGTCGACGGTGACGACGGCGAGGATAACCATGACGACGAGGACGAGGACGAGGACGACGAGGACGAGGACGACGAGGACGACGAGGAGGACGACGACGACCACGAGGACGACGACTGCGACGAGGACGACGACGACCATGATGACGACGAGGACCACGAGGACGACGAGGACGATGCGGATGATGAGGACGACGAGGACGATGACGACGAAGACGAGGAGGAGGAGGACGACGGCGATCAGGATGATGACGACGATCAGGACGAGGACGAGGCGGAAAAGGACGACGACGAGGGCGACGAGGACGAGGGCGAGGACGAAGACGACGACGACGAGGAGGACGATGACGACGACGAGGAGGATGAGGACGATGATGGCGACGTGGAGGACGACGAGGACGACGAGGGCGACGACGACGACGACCACTACGTCGAGGACGAGGACGAGAACGACGACGACAAAGACGACGACGAGGCGACGAGGACTTTTCACCTAGCTGCGCGCACGCATTGTTTGATTAGCCTTACCTTCCCCTCTTCAAAGCTGCGCTGAAAGCTTTGGCCTGAGCGGAGCGTCCTGGAAATCTGCCCTTGGCCAGCCTTGCCTGCCTTCAGCAGGACTGGGGTGCAAGGTTTGGCTAATTTCCGCATCATACCTCGCAGGCTGATGCTGCCGCAAGCTAGGTAGGCACAGCCTTTCACATGCTCGAACAACTTTCTGTGGTGGCTGGGTCTACGTGCACGTTTGAGAGGACGGCTGGTCTTTTCGGCGGCCGACGCACGGGCGGTGCACGGGCGACGAATGCGCGACGCACCTCCTGTCGCGAAGGGGGGGGGTCAGCACGCCGGTCGCTTTACTGGGCCTTAACACTCTACGACTTGGCTGCCTATACGCAGCGAGCCGTCTCTCGGGAGGCTGCCTGCGAGTGACACCGGGACGCACGGGGACTGCAACCAAGCTCGGAGCTGGTCTGTATCCCATGCGGCAGGCTTTTGCTTGCAAGCCGAGCACAACATTTCTCTGGGATTGCGCGAAACTAATCCCGCAGCGTGCGGGGACTCACTGCGCAGCTGGTAGAAACGTCTAGCTCCAATATTGGCTTCAGCTAGCTTGGCTCTTGGTGATGCTGGTTGTGCTTTCCCGTATTTGGAGGCACAAGCAACACCAGTCATAGCAACTCTTAATCGGATCTCGTCCGCTTCACGGCCGAGCTTCAAAATAGGCTAGCATATATCCTCATCGAGCTGGCATCTGGCTGCTTCGTATCCTGCGAAGCGGTCAGCAGCGTTGTTAGCCTCGGCCCAAAAACCTGGAATGCCCGTTTGCTCAGCTCTTTCTTTTTGTTGTGCCGCAGAAGCAGCTCTGTCATGTTATGCGCCATGCTATGTCATGCTACGCGTTGACCTTCAACACCATGCTATGCCATGTAATGCTATGCCATGCTACGACATCCGATTGTGCGGAGAGAGAGAGAGGCGATCTACGCCATGGTGAGGGATGAGAGGGAGGGTAGGACGTCATATATGACGCGAGCGCACCTAGTTTGTCCCCTCCCCCTCCCGTCCACTCCCCTCCTCTCCCCTCCCCTTCCACACCCATTCCTCGCTCCCTCACCCACCCACTCCTCCTCGCCCTCCTCCTTCCCTTTCCCCCTTTACAACAACTCATGGTGAATACTACTCTCCCTCACCTCTCCTGCAGTGTCCAGCGCGGGCCCCGCCTTTCCCGCGTGTGGCTTCCACGTCATCTCACTATTTAGTGTTTGATATCTGTTATCTGTGTGTCTTCCTTCGGAATGTCTTCGGTCCTGCAGCAGGGTGCTCTTGCTGCAACGCTGGCCTCATTTTCGGGTCGATGCCCTGCATCCGTCGTTCGGAATTGTTCTTGCCCTGGTGCGGGCCACCTTTCTGAATCCAATTCTGTCCTCATCTTTGCCGCCCCCTTTCTTTCTTTCCCCTCCTTTGCGTTCCCTGTTGCTGCTGCTGCTGTTGTTCCTTCCCCATGTCCAGCCCTCCCTCGCTGGTTGCACAGCCAGCGGTGGGTGAATTCCTGCGATTGCCATCTGAGGGCCAAGGTCTCCTGGGACACTCCGCTCGGCGGACAGAGGAGGCTTTGGAACACCGAGGAGTGGCCGGTTCGGAGGGATGAGACGTCAGCTGCGGCGCGCGCGCGCGCCTGCCCTGCCCCTTGGAGCCCGTTCGGAAAACCTCCCGGCGATCACGGGCGTGACCGGCCCCGCCCCCCCCCCTCCCTCACGTCACGGCGGTCGTCTGGTGGCGACCGCGGGCGTCCTGTGGCGTTCGCAGGCTACTGTGATGTTCAGAGGCACGCTGTGGTATTCGCGACGGGAAGCGGTTGCGTGCGTGCCGCGTGGTGCTCTCAAGAACGTAGTGTTGTTCTGTTTCTGAGAGGCGTTGGTGCGTCGGTCGTATCGCGGCGCTCGTAGCTGCCAGCGCTGTGGTGTATACAGGCACTGGAGCTCCTCCTCCTTCTCCTCCTTCTTCTCCTCCTCCTCCTCCTCTTCGTCTGGCCTTCCTGATTCGAGTTTATTTGTATCCGGTATCGATTCCTTGACTTTTTGGCCTCCGGGCGCCCTGGTAGAGTTCCTTTTGTATCCGGTATCGATTCGCTGACTCTTTGGCCTCCGAAGAAATCCGCTGCAAAAAGACTCCGATTGAAATCCTCCACGGAAGGATCCTCATTGATATCCTCCGCAGAAGGATGCCTATTGAAATCCTCGCAGGAGGAGGAGGGAAACAAAAGGAGGAGGAGGAGGAGGAGGAGGAGGAGGAGGAGGAGGAGGACAGGAGGGGGAGGAGGAGGAGAAGGAGGAGGAGGAGGATGTAGATAGAGCGGCATTGGGGGGCAAGGCAGTGCATTCGGCCGCAAGGATGGGCCCCCGCCGTCGTCGCTCAGAGCGGCACCTTCATTGCGATCCCGGCGCCACGCACGCCGATCGCCTTGCCGAACGAGGCGTAGTCGTATCGGCCATCCAATATTCTCGTACTCGTAGTCATAGCCCTGCCCTCCACGCAGCCAGCATGTCCTCCAAAGGTCATCTGGAAGATCTCGGCGGGCAGTATCCAGTCTGGCATGGGGGCGCACTTCTTGAGCTACTTGATGCGCTTAATGACGCCGCAGAGTGCTCGCATGTTGCCGTCCTTGGCGTCCTCGTATTCCTGGCAAACTTGAAGGTTGTGCTCTGTGGCGAACTCGTGGGGGGTCTCTTTCGAGATGCGCTTGTCCTCCTCGAGGTCGAACGGGCGAGCATTGAACCCTCCGTGCTGGCCGTCTGCTGCAATGTGAACTACCCACTCCTGCACGCTGGGGCGTGTTCTGGTCGCGCGGCTGTATTTGCGGTTGCACTTGCCGTATTTGGAGCCGACCGTGATTCGAGACAGTAGAACTTCAGCGTGTTCTCGTCTTTGCCAAGCCTCGTAGCTGCGCTCCTCTGGGTGTTGTCGTCGTGCTTCGTGCTGGCGCTTCTGCTTCATGATGTTCGCGAGGAGCTCCCCGAGTTCGTCCTCTGTGTTGTCCCCGACCGACTTCTTCGGCTTATCCTGGTGCTTGCCGAGGGCCATTGAACTCCTTGCGATACTTGTCCTTCGGCAGGGCCAGGGCCAGCTTGTCGTAGTCCCAGGCGAGCCTCTTTATGTCGGTGAACACCTTCGGGATGATGACGTCGGCGGCTGCATTTGGTAGGACAAGGTCGCGCGGCACGTTGTCATTGATGAGCTGGAGTGCCTTAACCGTTCGCCGCCGTACGCCGTACTCTGCAAGAAGAATAGGAGCATAGTCCTTGAGGCACTGCACTGTAGACGGGGCGTGTGGCCTGCCCGTGGGCACTGATGTACGTGGGCCCCGCATACCGAGAATTGTGCAGGATGCACTTGCCGCTCACGTCGAGCGTGTAGTGGAAGGCGGCGGGTGCCTTTCCTGGTACTCCTGTATCGCCTGCGTCGCCGATCACGTTGCTGAACTTGGCGGGAGTGAATCCGC